AGAGAGAGAGAGACAGAGAGAGAAAACAGTAAAAGCCTCCAGATTCTCCTGCTGCTGCTGCTCAGACAAAAGGACGGAGAGACCCGCAGACAGACAGACAGACAGACAGACAGATCTAGAGAGAGAGACAGGTAGAACGGAGGACAGACGGACGGACAGCCGGGGAGGATGGGCCGGCGGAGCGGCCGTCGGTAGCGCTCTGTTTTCGGGGACGGAGCTCCAGGATGAGCGTAGCGCTGCAGGACCTCCGGAACACCGTGAGTACACGCGCACACACGCACGCACGCGTGACACGCCGCCCACGCGCTCCCGTGTCCCGGTTGGACCGGGTCGGTCCGTGCAGCTGCTGATCACGTGCCAATCACTGATATTGATTGACAGGATGCTGTGATTGATCCGCGCGCAGCTGTGACTGCAGACAGGTGTGTGTGTGTGTGTGTGTGTGCAGGCCTCTCCTCCTGCTGACGTCACTGATCAAATAGAGTGATTGATTACTGAACTGATCGATACCCCAGAGGTTACAGGTCTGCAGGTTCAGCTGCCGTTGTTTTACCAAAAGCTGTAAAATAATAATAATAATAATAATAATTAATAATTTGGGGTTTAGATATTTTGAACCACAGAAGAAGAAGACACTTCCTGTAAACATAATAAAAGCCTTTTTTCTTCTCACATTGTCGACCTTTAAAGGTGACAGACAGGCAGACAGACAGGCAGACAATAATCAACAATTATAAAAATAAATGTAAATAAAAAACTTTCTACTAATCATAAAGTACCATTTCACACCCCTCCAGAATAAAACAAAAATTATACAGATTATGAAACAATTTTATTAATCGTAAAATATCAACCGAATTATTAATAATGAAAACAGTCCAAAGAACAACTGACTGACATTCACTGGTTCCTGTTACTGTTTCTTCCAGTTAGCGACAATAAATGAGCAACATCTGGTTAGACTTTCAGAATAAAGCTTGAGTGGAGGAAAACATCGTAAGTTGCGTTGTTTATCTGACAGAATGTAACGATACTTTAAATCCATCATCGGAAACAATTCACACATCAACCAAACTCAGAAAACAAGCATTTTAAAAGTTGTTTGCTCGTCCTCTTGTGGGCCTACGCCTCCTCCACACGTGTCACCTGACCTCGACTGCATGCGCGCCCGTAAACGTCGCTAGAGGGCAAACTGCTGCGTTTTATTCTGAAGCAGCCGAACACAGACGAAGCTTTGACGAGTGAGAACGAGTGGGTCTGAAAAGTGACTGTGACCTTTCCTCTCTGTTTGTCGTCATTCCTCTTTCACGTCACCGTGGTTACCGGTGCTCTGAGCTAACATTGGCCAACGCCACCAACGCCTCGGTTATCGTCCACGGCCGCTGTTTATTTCTGTGTGGACGCCATTTTATGGAGCTGCAATGTTTTACACTGTAAAAAAAAATCTGTATTTTTACGGTTGTTTTTTGTTTATTTTACAGACTTGAAAATATTAATAAAGGTACAGAAATAGCCTGTAAATTTACATGTTTAATGTAAAATTACATGTTTAATGTAAAATTACATTAAAAATCTGTAAATAATCATAATATTACTGCTTATTACAATACTTTCAAATCTATAATTGTTTTACGGATGTTTATTGTTTATTTAATAGATAAAACTGTTTCATCCAAGTTTAATATTGTTAAAACATTTCTGAAATGAGGTAAAAAATCTTGACATTTAACAGTGAAATAAGTATTTGTTTTCTTATTTAACAGTATTTTTTACTAGCTCCCAGAATATTAGCAGGTTTTGTAATACTTTTTTTTACTTTTTTACAGTGTAAATGTAAAATGTGTGACAAACATTATTATAATGAAGTTCTGTAGTTCTCCAGATTTAAATATGAAATATTTGACCATATCGTGCAGCTCTAGAAGAAGGAGACTCACAGCTAACAGATCTATCTCAATAAATACAAAAATAAAAGTGAAACAGTTTGTTAATCATGTTTCTAATTAAATGTGACCGATGGTTTTCAAGCTGAATGCTCATATGAGTCCATATTCTTCACATAAAGGCCTGTTTCTCTAGTTGAGGCCTTTCTGAGAAGTCTGTTCCTGTTCTCAGAGTCGACAGATCAGCTGAGAGCAGCTGCTGGAAGTAAACAACAATAACAACAGTTTCATCCTCTGAGCTAAAAGTTCACACACACTCATAAAGGAAACCTGGAATATTCAATAATAAATCACTTCCTTAGAGAAACCCTGTCGCTATCCGCTCATACCACCTTAAATATAGAGAGCACCGCCCTCATCAACCAAACTCCATTCAGAAAACAAGCATTTTAGAAGTTGTTTGCTCGTCGTCTTACAGACCGACAGCATGAATTCAGACTTCTTTTACAAACCGCTGTCATGATGTCGTTATTTCGGCATCATTTTGTTTATTGACATTAAATCGCAGTAAAATCATACAATAATCTGTAGTAACACGAGTAAGTTGTTGAACTTTAATTAATCAGTTTTATGATAATTAACTGCATTTTAAAAGTTTGATTTGGGTTTTAATTAGAGACATTGCAGGTGAACAACTAACAGATATCAGCACCAAACCTCCCCAGTGGATCACTCACATTAAGACAATTACTGTATGTATTACAAATTTCCTCAAATGTTATGTTTAAATACGCAAAGGAGACATTATCTAATGCTAACTTGGGGACATTTACAGACACAAACAGACTAAAAGAAGTAAAATAAACACCTAAAAGTGTATTTTTGGTGAAAGGTTGCCCCCCCCCAGTCAGTTCTTTAGAGGAAATGAGTCCTAATTACGGACTTCATTCCAGGAAACCTGTAAGAAAGACTCTTAAAGTGCTCCCTGTTGTTACAATGCTTCAGTTAAACTTTAGAGAACATTTGGGGAACAGTCTGGTTTGGTCTTGAACAGGCTGATCCACGTTCCTGCAGACCGCCTGAGGACACGGGACGGGACATAACCCCCCCCCGGCGTTTGTAGATCTTTGGTTTGATTACAGAAACGTTATTTGTTTACTGATCGATCAGATTGTTAGACAGATTAATGATAATAGTCGACTGATTGAATTATCGGGATTGGAAGACGTGAGAGTGGTTAGCATTAGCTGTTAGCATGCAGATGAACCAGACAGTGTAGTGGTGTGTGTACTTTACTTTAGTCTTTAGACTTCACTATGTTAACTGATCGCTTTAGTTATTTAATGAATGAAGATTTGTTCACACAAAACACATGAAAAGTTTATAAAATTATTTTATTAGACAGTTCATACAAGTAAAGCTAAAACTATTATACATACTATATATAATGTCATGGTTCAGTATTCAGTGTATTTACATGTTTTTGTAATCTAATGTCTAATCAATCTAATCTCAATTCCATTGAAAAGTTTAAGTTTCTGTTACTTACAAAACTAAGTTAGTGTCTCTTAACATTTCTAATAAAAGAGCGAGAGAAAACCAAGCTATAGCTACTAATTCATCTTATTATGAATACTTATGGTCACAACTATATGTACACGCTTACATTCATGCATCAGTTCAACTGATCGCCTTCAACACTTTATTAACTTCAACACTTTATTAACTTCAACAGTTTAACTTCAACAGTTTATTAACTTCAACAGTTTAATCATTTAAGTAACTCATTTATGAAGGTAAATTAAGTTAATTGTAATTGAAACTAGTAAGTATATTAAACTCATATGCAGCATTTCTCCAAACTGTGTCTGAATAAAGTAATTTAGATGCATCTTATAAATATATAAATGTTTTTATAATTTAATTTACCCAAAGCACATTATTTCATTACCTGTACCTTAATCGATTATCAAAATAATTTTTTACAGTTTTGTATAGATATAAAGTCAATTTAAAGAAAATGAGTCAATGGACACATTTCAGTTCACTCAAAACAAGTTAAAGTACTTTAACCGTTCATTTGTGAGTTGGGTTTAATTCATGTGAAGGAGAGACTCATTGTTATGCTATCTGACTTTTATTAAGGATTTACAGAGTTGCTGTCAGAATAGTTGAAACCAGCTCCAACAGTGAAATCCTGCTTTTACACGAATGCACGAGTCAGTTTAATCCTTCCACTGATGATACTCTGACTGTAACAGTGTGAAGCGTTAGTGGTTCAGGATCAATAAATCACTGCAGTGTTGCGTAACTACAGCTGTTCTGGTGCTGTTAGAGAACCTTGCCAATGTGACTCAACCGATTGTTCTTCTTCTCTGGTGTCGTCCTCACTGAGAGGCGGAGCAGACAAACTGAGGTTGAACGTTTAATCTGATGAAGAGCTAAAGGTCGAGAACTACGATGAGCAGATGCCCCGAATTACGAACTGTTGTCCCAAATATGAACCGTTAGCGTTAGCGGATCATCTGAAGGAGAGCTGCCAAATGTAATCAATAATCAATAACATGGAGAATGATTAGATCAGTAGTTTTAAATCTGTTTTTAGATTCCTGCTCTCAGTTATTATTATATAGTTATAGTCATATACTTATTGATAGGTTTGCACTGATTGATCTGTTACCTGTGTAACTTTATACTCATTATACAGAGTTACAATAAATGTATTGTAATAATTATTATAATATTAATATCATTATATTTGTGGGTTTTTTGGTTATTCAACTTTACTTATTGATTTATCTTTCTATTCTTCCGTGATACAGTTATTAGCATTAGAATATTAACACTATATGTATATATATATATATATATTATTTTATTCCTGTTTTCGGTTCCCCACACTGACCCTGTTGTTGTTTATAATGTTGTCATTGTTTCAGTGTTACATTACTGTATTATAAACATTGATGAATGAATTGTCTCGTTAATGTTGCAGCTGGTAAACAAAGTAAAGCTGACAGATAATACTCACACAACAACCACAAACATAAATAAATCAAATAAAAATACAACGACAACCGGTGCAGAGTTCCTATAAAAAGATCAATAAAAACAGTATTTGAGTATTTGAACCATCGGCTCCTCTAACGACGAGAGGAAGAAATAAGAATCGTTAATAATTAGATTATTTTTCAGACTTTTAATAAGATTTTATTGACTCGACTGTTGATGGGATTTAAACCGCAGTGACAGAAAGTCTCAGTGGATCCATAAAGTGATGCTTTCTTTATCTTCGAGTGAACATTTCCACAGTGAGCTGGCATAGTGTGTGTGTGTGTGTGTGTGAGTGTGTGTGTGTGAGTGAGTGTGTGAGTGTGAGAGAGTGTGTGTGTGAGTGAGTGTGTGACTGTGTGTGTGAGTGTGTCTGTGTGTGTCTGTGTGTGTGTGTGAGTGTGTGTGAGTGTCTGTGTGTGTCTGTGTGTGTGTGTGTGTGTTGGGTTGGGTTGGTTTACTGTTTCCTGTCTGCAGCTCTGTGACTTCCTGTCTTAAGACGCCCAGTTTCCATCTGAGCAACAAAACAAACCAAAGCTCCGCCGCCGCTGCTCCTACTGCGTATATATCTGACCTTCATCATCTTCATCACCTTTGTCTTCATCAGTTTCCATCTGAGCAACTAAACAGACCAAAGCTCTGCCATCATCATCATCATGATCATGATCCTCACCTCCCTCCTCTGGATGCTTCAGTTCAACCTCAGACTGACTCCAGTACTCAGGTTTGTCTGGTTTAATGGGTGAGGAGGTGGGAGGAGCTCTGGGGGAGGAGGAGGTGGTGGGAAGAGCTCTGGGGGGGGGCAGTAACTCATGTGGAGGGTCAGGAGGCTGTAGGTGGGGGGAGGGTGATGGGGGAGGTGTCTTGTCTTTGTCCTGTTTAATGTGAGAGTGGGGGTCAGAGGTCACAGAGGAGCTGGTGGTGTGTGGTCGCAGCAGGGATGGGAGGCGACGACGGAGCGGTTGTCATGGCGACGACCTGCGTTGGTCCCGCCTCTTTTTTCTCTCTTCAGCTCATCTCCCGGTGTCAGAAACGTTCCTCTGCACGCGCTCAGTGACGACGAGGATCTTTATTGGTTGTTAATGTAACGCCATCGTTGTTTACAGGTCTTTTATTCTGAAACTCTCTCACTTCCTGCTCTACATACAAAAGTGCAACCAAATGTTGGGCCTTTATTTTGTTAAACTGACCGTGGAGTGACGCTGCAGCGTGTTACACGCCTTTTTGTGGTTATTCAGATGTTCGGTTTATCTAAATACGTCTTTATGTTGTTCAGATACTTTGTTCAGGTTTATATAATCTTTTGTTGTTGTTGTTGTTGTTGTTGTTGTTGGGTGTTCGGATGTCTATGTACTTTGTTAAAGTCGTTCACACACATTTTTCAGGTGTTTACACAACGTTTGGCGTGTGTGTATCCAACAGTTATAGAAACAGAGATGTGGTTGAGGTGGCTCATGACGCTACAGGCTAGCAGTTTCCCCCCGCTTCCAGTCTTTGTGCTAAGCTAAGCTAAGCTAAAGAGATGCGTTAGCAGTTATTAATCAAACAGTCATCCTGTAAAGTTTTTAAAACTTTGTTAAAAAAAATCCAATAACCAAAAATAACTGACTCTGAAAAATAAAGTAATTAAAATACAGTTTCTAGCTTTAATTTTACATGAAATGTTTGTGCTTTTAATGTTAAATTAAAGATATTTACACTGTAAAAACAATGAAATGAGCTATAAATACAGGTGAACTCTGATTTAACACAAATAATCAGGTTTACATTTACAGATGATATTAGATTTTTTAGTCTTTAGTCTTGAAGTTCTAAAGTTAAGTTTTCAGTGAGTAACGTGTGTAACTGACTCCTGGAGAGGTCATCACATTATCATCATCTCGTCCGACTAAACAACTAAAGATCTCTGAATGTCAGATTTTATATTTTAACATTAAAGGGACAGAAAATGATTTTAGAAGAAGTTTCCTCCAAACGTCTCATCACACTGAAGATTCCTCAACAAACGAAAATCCATCAACTGCTGTTAGTGTGTGACCTGAGCTGACTGCTTAATGTGTGTGTGTGTGTGT